TTTTTTTTTTTTTTTTGGGGGTTCTGTACCTCCAATTAACCCTTTAAAGTTACATATTTACCCACAAAAGTTAACAATAACTACTTGGGGTGCCATAATCAAGCCCACAACTAAAGGGGTGAAGTTATGATACCACTTTTTCAGTACTATGAAGGAAACAATTTCTAACACCAAGATCTTTATCTTATTTAAAGATCATGACTATTGAATGAACCATAAACTACGAAGACATGTCTTAGTGTAACAATAAAATTGTTCTTTCGTAATTCGGGTGTCATTCATTTACGACATATCCGTGCATAATATAAAATTATTATATTTACCCTTTTCAAATCTTATAATACAAAAAATTTGGTACACTGAATTCTCCTTTTAGTTGACCATGAAATATCAAGCTTTGGTATTAGTTAGAACTTCTCACACCTTTTGCTTTTTGCTTTTATTCCTCTCTGTCTTCTCCTTCGAACCAACTACTTTCTTTTGTCTTTTATTGTCAAAAAAGGGTTTTACCTCCTTTGTATATGGAATTAATTATAATTATAAAGATAATAGACTAGCATGTATGTTAAAGTAGTGCATGTTTCGTGCACGGTTGGTCATGTACTTTTGAATGACCAACGAGTTTAATTATTATTATTATTTTTTATCTTAAGAGTAATAATGTCTTACACTATTTTATATTTTAATAATGAATCACATTAAAAGACTTCAGGGACTAATTTGCATAAAAAGTGATGGGTCAATGAACTCGACTTAAGGAATATCATTCTTCAATAGGTTTAAAAAATTCTCTCAACGAACGAATAGTCTTATCGGCTAATCTATTCATTTACAACTAAGGATAGTGCTTGAGAATGTTACTCCTGCTCTAGCTACCCTATTATTACACGGTTATTAAATATAAGAACCACCAAAATAATGTATATATTTGCATTTTTATGACTTTTTTACCCTTTATTTACTTTTACCCTCTCTAGACTAAATTACTGGATTTGTCCTTGTTCCCATAAGATGACTATTTATAATATAAAACAAGACAGATTTCAATAACCTCATCCAACGGTCTTAAATAGACTAATCTAATAGCCACTAACATCCCTCTTAAAACCATTCATGTTACATCATAACTCCAGATATGAGTTACCCTATTCAATAGATATAGCATTGGGCTAGCCTTAAATGGCAAGAATCAAAATTAAGAATGAGAAAATGACCCTATTGTTTTTCATTCATAAGTTTGGTATGAACCTTTGCTGATAGGAATTTCATTACTCTTGACATGAGACTTTTGTAAGAAGTGGGTATTCTTTTCTCACCTAAAGGGGTGATAATCTCGGAGATTTTTTTTTTTTTTTGTTCTAACCAATCACATAAAAAAATAAATCGTAAAACTTTACTTTCACAACTCTTATCCGTACTAACGAAGTTTATTTCCGAGTCTATTATTCTTGTCATCCAAACTAAGCCTTTTCTTAATTGGCACATTGATGAACCAACTTACCTTGATGGCGGGTCACAACAGTGAATGCCAACCTAGTGTGATAACTTTTGGTTTCCCCCCGCCCCCCCCTTTTCCTTCCCTAGGGGGTATTAAGATGCTAATGTGGAGTATGCTTCCCCATAATCACGTGGAAAAATTATAAAAGAAGTAAGAATTTAGCGTTTAATCATGTTGATTGGTGGGTAGAAAATGACCCTCTATTCCTTTGTTTGGCAAGTCATTGGACTCTAAAACCATTATGGTCTTTTCTTGACCTTTATCATATTGGAGGAACTCATCAACTAAAGAAATTCTTCATTTTGAAGTCACTAACCACTAAGAAGGACACTACAAATGCCCTTGGTTTAAGTCTTAAGATTCCCAATATGATATTTTGTTTGGAAACTTGGAAAAGTAAGCTGGTGAAGTTCTAGAAGAGGGGGACTATCTTTGTATATATTGGTTGGAAAAGGTTTGTTGGAGGGTTTGGTTGTTATGTGCTTATTATTACAAGTGTATTAATGAAGTTTCAGATAATTATATTGCTAATTTTTTTAAGTTAGTATAATGTTGTTTTATTGTGATCTAGATGCCTCATGTTCAAGTCCCCTTCATCCTCCCCCTCAAAAAACAAAAAAAAATGTTTGAATCAATAAAACAATCTCTCCCCAAGTGGGTAAAGACTTTGAGTCGTTCTAAAGACAATGTAGTAACAAAAATTTTATATATTAGACTACTTTTATTTGATTGTCCAAATCCTCTGGCTCCACCCTCCTCACACTCATATATGGAAGTTGTGGGACAACCCTTATACTGGTATGGGAATAAAAGCTAGTTTTGTCAATGGGAAGGTTACAATCCTTCAAATACTCTGTTTTGGAATGAATTAGCCGGTCTTAGTTTATTTTTAAAGATAGTATCAGTTCACAAAAATTCCGTTTATAACATGGTTTGAGAGTGATAAGGGATGGACATGTCTTACCTTTTTTTTTTTATAAAAAAAAAAAATCGATTGTCAAACATAAACGTGTGTATATTTATCATTGTTCTTCCTAATTCTAAATGTTAAAATAACTAATGTTCCTGCTAGTTTTGATCTTTGTCACAAAATTCGCATCTTTGCAGGTTAATCTTTATATTTTTCCAACTACAAAGACTTCAATTTTGATGGGATAAAGTCATTTTCAAGCGTCTGCCAAAAAGAAGAATACTCAAATCAATCCTTTTGGTGGCTCAACCCACCTCAGCCCCCACCATAAGCTACCAAACTTAAATTTTCTGAAGGCATACAACTCCCATACAAAACAAAGCATCCATCAAATCCAATCTACCTTATCCAACCTTCTTCCAATTAACCACCAATCTGGAAAATACACTGCCGACTTCCGCGAGTCAATATTGTGTATAATCAGCGAATAAGAAAATAAAGTTCACTTCTTATTATAAACATGATTATGTATTATACGATTGAGTGGTTATGAANGTTTTTCAGTACTATGAAGGAAACAATTTCTAACACCAAGATCTTTATCTTATTTAAAGATCATGACTATTGAATGAACCATAAACTACGAAGACATGTCTTAGTGTAACAATAAAATTGTTCTTTCGTAATTCGGGTGTCATTCATTTACGACATATCCGTGCATAATATAAAATTATTATATTTACCCTTTTCAAATCTTATAATACAAAAAATTTGGTACACTGAATTCTCCTTTTAGTTGACCATGAAATATCAAGCTTTGGTATTAGTTAGAACTTCTCACACCTTTTGCTTTTTGCTTTTATTCCTCTCTGTCTTCTCCTTCGAACCAACTACTTTCTTTTGTCTTTTATTGTCAAAAAAGGGTTTTACCTCCTTTGTATATGGAATTAATTATAATTATAAAGATAATAGACTAGCATGTATGTTAAAGTAGTGCATGTTTCGTGCACGGTTGGTCATGTACTTTTGAATGACCAACGAGTTTAATTATTATTATTATTTTTTATCTTAAGAGTAATAATGTCTTACACTATTTTATATTTTAATAATGAATCACATTAAAAGACTTCAGGGACTAATTTGCATAAAAAGTGATGGGTCAATGAACTCGACTTAAGGAATATCATTCTTCAATAGGTTTAAAAAATTCTCTCAACGAACGAATAGTCTTATCGGCTAATCTATTCATTTACAACTAAGGATAGTGCTTGAGAATGTTACTCCTGCTCTAGCTACCCTATTATTACACGGTTATTAAATATAAGAACCACCAAAATAATGTATATATTTGCATTTTTATGACTTTTTTACCCTTTATTTACTTTTACCCTCTCTAGACTAAATTACTGGATTTGTCCTTGTTCCCATAAGATGACTATTTATAATATAAAACAAGACAGATTTCAATAACCTCATCCAACGGTCTTAAATAGACTAATCTAATAGCCACTAACATCCCTCTTAAAACCATTCATGTTACATCATAACTCCAGATATGAGTTACCCTATTCAATAGATATAGCATTGGGCTAGCCTTAAATGGCAAGAATCAAAATTAAGAATGAGAAAATGACCCTATTGTTTTTCATTCATAAGTTTGGTATGAACCTTTGCTGATAGGAATTTCATTACTCTTGACATGAGACTTTTGTAAGAAGTGGGTATTCTTTTCTCACCTAAAGGGGTGATAATCTCGGAGATTTTTTTTTTTTTTTGTTCTAACCAATCACATAAAAAAATAAATCGTAAAACTTTACTTTCACAACTCTTATCCGTACTAACGAAGTTTATTTCCGAGTCTATTATTCTTGTCATCCAAACTAAGCCTTTTCTTAATTGGCACATTGATGAACCAACTTACCTTGATGGCGGGTCACAACAGTGAATGCCAACCTAGTGTGATAACTTTTGGTTTCCCCCCGCCCCCCCCTTTTCCTTCCCTAGGGGGTATTAAGATGCTAATGTGGAGTATGCTTCCCCATAATCACGTGGAAAAATTATAAAAGAAGTAAGAATTTAGCGTTTAATCATGTTGATTGGTGGGTAGAAAATGACCCTCTATTCCTTTGTTTGGCAAGTCATTGGACTCTAAAACCATTATGGTCTTTTCTTGACCTTTATCATATTGGAGGAACTCATCAACTAAAGAAATTCTTCATTTTGAAGTCACTAACCACTAAGAAGGACACTACAAATGCCCTTGGTTTAAGTCTTAAGATTCCCAATATGATATTTTGTTTGGAAACTTGGAAAAGTAAGCTGGTGAAGTTCTAGAAGAGGGGGACTATCTTTGTATATATTGGTTGGAAAAGGTTTGTTGGAGGGTTTGGTTGTTATGTGCTTATTATTACAAGTGTATTAATGAAGTTTCAGATAATTATATTGCTAATTTTTTTAAGTTAGTATAATGTTGTTTTATTGTGATCTAGATGCCTCATGTTCAAGTCCCCTTCATCCTCCCCCTCAAAAAACAAAAAAAAATGTTTGAATCAATAAAACAATCTCTCCCCAAGTGGGTAAAGACTTTGAGTCGTTCTAAAGACAATGTAGTAACAAAAATTTTATATATTAGACTACTTTTATTTGATTGTCCAAATCCTCTGGCTCCACCCTCCTCACACTCATATATGGAAGTTGTGGGACAACCCTTATACTGGTATGGGAATAAAAGCTAGTTTTGTCAATGGGAAGGTTACAATCCTTCAAATACTCTGTTTTGGAATGAATTAGCCGGTCTTAGTTTATTTTTAAAGATAGTATCAGTTCACAAAAATTCCGTTTATAACATGGTTTGAGAGTGATAAGGGATGGACATGTCTTACCTTTTTTTTTTTATAAAAAAAAAAAATCGATTGTCAAACATAAACGTGTGTATATTTATCATTGTTCTTCCTAATTCTAAATGTTAAAATAACTAATGTTCTTGCTAGTTTTGATCTTTGTCACAAAATTCGCATCTTTGCAGGTTAATCTTTAAATTTTTCCAACTACAAAGACTTCAATTTTGATGGGATAAAGTCATTTTCAAGCGTCTGCCAAAAATAAGAATACTCAAATCAATCCTTTTGGTGGCTCAACCCACCTCAGCCCCCACCATAAGCTACCAAACTTAAATTTTCTGAAGGCATACAACTCCCATACAAAACAAAGCATCCATCAAATCCAATCTACCTTATCCAACCTTCTTCCAATTAACCACCAATCTGGAAAATACACTGCCGACTTCCGCGAGTCAATATTGTGTATAATCAGCGAATAAGAAAATAAAGTTCACTTCTTATTATAAACATGATTATGTATTATACGATTGAGTGGTTATGAATTTTAGTGGGACTCACTTGTAGATATTTATTTATTAATGAACGGTTGTACTACATAACACTATTGACGTGATATAACAGTTACACTTAATATTTTCTAAACTTCCACACCCTTGTTCCTAGTGCTGCCACTTGCTCGTCCATACTTTCGCCAAGTAGTTGCCGCTTTGGCCTGCCAGAGCTGCCAACCCCCACCCGATTTTTGCCACGTTGTAAATTCCCGTTAAAGGAATGGTCAACTAGAGAGAGAGAGAGGCCACCTATACACCTTTACCCAACTAATTGAACATACCTTTCAAAAAGGGCATCTAATAATGCCTCACATTATATAAAGGCAAGGACCAACTAAACAGAACACAACCAAAACTTGTTATTCAAACCAACTCTCTCAGAAAAATGGAATGGACAAGAGGCCATACCCTTGGCCGAGGCTGCTCCGGCACCGTGTCCATCGCCACAGCCAACAAATCCGGTGAGATTTTTGCCGTCAAGTCCGTCGAGCTATCCTTATACAAGTTCTGGCAAAGAGAGACCAAAATTCTTTCTTCTTTGAGCAGTCCTCAAATAGTTGGCTACAAGGGACAGGACATTACAATGGAGAGCAATAAGCTTATGTACAATCTTTTCATGGAATACATGCCCCGTGGCTCGCTTACCGATCTAATTCACGAGCGTGGAGGCCGGCTCGACGAATCGATGATCGGATACTACATAAGCCAAATTGTACAAGGGCTAGAGTACCTTCATTCAAGTGGTATCGTACATTGTGACATTAAAGGCAGGAACATACTAATTGGCCAAAGTGGTGCCAAAATTGCTGACTTGGGTTGTGCCAAGTGGGTTAACCCGGTAGGCGGAACCGGTGATCATGAGGCTGCCGGAGTGCCAATTGGCGGCACACCGATGTTTATGGCGCCGGAAGTGGCACGTGGGGAAGAGCAGGGGTACCCAGCTGATATATGGGCACTTGGGTGTACAATTATTGAAATGGCCACTGGTGGATCACCGTGGCCTAATGTTACAAACCCAGTTTCAGTACTTTACAGAATTGCATTTTCCGGCGAATCGCCGGAGATTCCAGAGTTTCTCTCCGACCAAGCAAAGGATTTCTTAAACCTGTGCCTCAGGAGAGACCCGAAAGAGCGTTGGACCGCCAAACAACTCCTCAAACACCCATTTATTGAAGACCTCAATCCTCATGAAAAACAGAGTCAGAATTTTGATACAAGTTCTCCAACAAGTGTTCTTGATCAGGGGTTTTGGAACTCAATGGAGGAATCAGAAACTCTTGGTGATATTGTACAAAAGAATTCGTCGAATTCTCCGGTGGATAGGATCAGACGGTTGTCATTGAATCCAAGAGTATCAAACAGGACATGGGGTGAGAACTGGATCACAGTAAGAAGCAATGAATATGAGCTGGGAGATGACAAAGTTAATGCTGATTTTGGGTCAATGACAGCTTTGATCAGTGATGATATGAACCTAGAAAGAACTGTTGGTGGTGAGGATTTAATGAATTTCTTAGATACCAATATTAGTTGTAGTAAAAGCAGTAGTGATATTTTAATGGGGTGCACATGTATAGATGGTGCTGTACTGACGGGGTTAAATTTTCAGAGACACAGAGACAAATTGGTACTAAATGAATCACAGTTACAGTAGAATTCATTCTCTCTCTCTCTCTCTCTGCAACTTCCTTACTTTTCTGAAGGTTGTATTGAAACCCAAAACCCAGGTACCAAAAGAACAAATTA